TTCAGAACTTTCAAAAGTATAAGAAGTTTTGACTAACATTGCTGGTCATAACCACTCTAATTTGGTCAAAATCACTTTTACCCAGTATTTTTACAGATAACAGTATATTTGACCAACGGTCTTAGTTAAAACTACGTTTGACTGTAAAAATCGGTTAAAAGTGGTATTGACAAACGTCAAAACTAATTTTACCTGATTTATTACCGGCATTTTTTTTTCTACCGCCTTCAAAAAGGAGGAGGTACCCAATTCGACTGCATGTTTTTTTTTAATGTTTGTTACCCCATAACTTTTTTCTGGTTGTACCGAATTCGATGGTTCTTTTTTTATTTGAAAGCTGGTACTTCTAATGTAGTCCCATATAAATTTGATCAAGGTCTTACGAATAGTTTTTGTGTTATACTTAATAATATATATTGAAGTCGGTTGTACAAAATTTTTAATTTTAAATTATTTATATTTTTCGAATCCAGTTGCAACTAGGACTACTTTTCTGAAAGTTAAGCTTTCTATTTTTAGTTTCTATTATAGATCTAAATTTAAAATAGTGTTTACTTAGAGATATTTATTTTAAAATAATAAATTATTAATACTGTTTAAATTATCCTCTTATTTCCTACAAGAAACACTACCCATATAGTATATACATCTAATTAGATACATAAATCTAAAACACATCTAAAAAAGGAGCTGTTGGTATGGTAGCGACATCTTTCGGTGAATATCGAAAATAGACCCAAGCCATTTTTATATAAATATCTGACAAAAACAGTTGCAGCAACAGATACATTTAGAGTTTTATGACGATAACATAACCGGAGAGTAAAGACTGGTAATCTGATTAACTGGTTTTAGCCACTGAATAAACAAATAACTTTATTATACAATACATAATAATATTTTACCTACTCTCCGAAAAGACTCCTAATATTTTATACGGACTGTAACTACAGAAAATTTTACACTGCATTTAAAATGCTTGTCCTAAAAAATATTAATTAATATCAAATTAGATTCTTTCGTAATGAAATGAATTAATAAACAACACTAAAAAACTCTTCATTGTGGCGACTTAGATCTTATGAAACAGCGAGCATGAAAGTGAAATCAATAGACAGAACTAAGTCAAAGCATGAAACTAAAATCGTTAAAAGTCACTGGTCATTAGTACTAGAAAAATAAACATTGTATATTGAATGTATATATTAGCATTAAATATTTCATCAACTTATCCATAAGCCCGGCTAGCTCAGTCGGTAGAGCATGAGACTCTTAATCTCAGGGTCGTGGGTTCGAGCCCCACGTTGGGCGCAAAATGTTTTTTACTAGTCGTTTTCCTATACCCAGCTGGTATATTAAAGAAAATTTTAAATTTATTAATCAGGCCTAATTACTACAATCAATGTTATTTTTTTCTTCTATTTTGTGATAATCTCCAAGATAAACCAATTATTATTAATGAATATTAAAAGCAACTTTCAGAAAAAGCTCACATTGATATAAAAATATACTTCTCTTATTTTTTAATTTAATTAAATACCATTCCTTGTGAATGAATGTACTAGAAACACGTTTACACGTACATATTGCGTTTTGTACGTGGTAGAGCAATGCTGCAGCTATATTAGTAGTATAGTTGTAGCACGAATGGGTCGGCTCAACCGGGGAAGAACCACGCTCTCACAGGATACCAGCGTAAAATATCAGCTCAACACTGCTGTGTTTCGTATGGTGAGTGTAGAGAACCAGATACCCTTTTTACTGGAAAAGAAGCATTCTATCTTAGTCCTCACGAGTGACAACGCATCTGCATTTTGATTCGCAAACGAGGAAAGATGTAGATGTCAGTAGTGTAGTTGTACCACTTCTAGACCACCTGAGTCAGACGTGGTTCAACGACCAATTAAATTGTTAATTACAATTTTAAGTGCTGATGTACCACGTGCTCTGCGGTGAAGGAAAACATCGTGAGGAAACCTTCATGTCTGAGAAATAAGATAAAAAATTATTTTGGACTATTCCTTGCTCCAAAACCCTCTTAGAAATGAAAGGAGGCTTTGTGCCCAAAAAATGGTAAATTTCTTTTCTTTTTTTATAGGATAGGGTGACAAACGAGCACACAGTCCACCTGATGGTAAGTGGTTGCTGTGGCAGCTGTACCACTTCTAGACCACCTGAGTCAGACGTGGTTCAACGACGTTCGTCGACACCCGATCCTAAAAAAAAAAAAAAAAAAAAAAAAAAAAAAGAGGTTTTGGCATGCTCTGATCACGAATCCGCGGTCCATTTTTGTGTAGAATGCACGGTTCCGGAGATGTGTAGATCAATTAGCTAATATCTAATTTATATCCGGTAAGGGCCTCCACCGTCATTAGCGTCCCATTGTTCCTATTTCTATTGTTCTATTGTTCATTAATCACCTTCATTGCAGCGTGTGCGTCGACTATATCAGTGCTATTGTGTTATAGTTCTTTGTTTATACAACGCTAATCTGAATCATCAATAAAACACATTACATAATTTTGTTACAATTTTTATTTATAAAATACAAAATCTTATTAATTATTATCTATAAAATAGGAGCGAAACATCTCATCCACTAAAATATCGTTGTACAATGTGTTCCTTGTAAATATACTCGTAAAACTATGTATTGAACATCCTTGAAACTTATATAGCAAATACATTAAGCAATATTCGCCACAAACTGAAGTCCACTCATTCTGAATCCTATCAACATTCCAGTTCCATCTTTTACAATTCCTTTTTAAAAACTCTAGATGATATCGTACAGGTGATCGTCCATATGAATCAAAATATTGACCGACGTCATTCGTATCGATATATAAAGCTACCCAATGTGACCCTGGTTTATCATCTGTATCCAAATTACATATTATATACGTTGGTACGTGGGTATACATAGGCAGTCTATTAGCTGCATAAACATTATTTTCTAGACTGGGGTGAATCTTTTTCAGATGTTGTTGTACATCTAGTGTATCCATGATATTACTGCTATTAGTAGATTATTACAGTACCTAGCTACTCAATGAATAACATAGGAATGGTCAATTATAGTGATTTCTACATATTAAATTGCATTTTTGTGTTATACAAATCGTACTTGAGTCATTGATCACCAAACAAAACACAATACGAAGAAATGTTGAGATAGGCAACGGAAATGTGAGATAAACTGATATGTTTCTAAATATTAAATTGCATTTTTGTGTTATACAAATCGTACTTGAGTCATTGATCACCAAACAAAACACAATACGAAGAAATGTTGAGATAGGCAACGGAAATGTGAGATAAACTGGTTGACGCATAAAGTAATTATCAACTCATTACGGAAATACTTTAGATTAGAATTTTTACGTACTGGTGGTATATAAGACCAACAAACGCAGTCATCGAGTTAGTGTACGGTCGTTTGGCTACAGTGGATCTATCAATAGTACATTTTGTGTTACTTCAATACACCAAAGGCTATGGATGTAAGTGTTTATTCTATTGACTAAATTACTTTTTTTCTGTTATTTTCATGTGTGTGTATTATTTTATTTAAATATTGTGTATGTATATGATTAAGCCGTGGTAACTCAGATGGTTAGCGCTAGCTGTAAATTTCACAGTACGCGACCCGGGTTCGATCCCCGCCAGCACCAATTAAATTGTTAATAGCAATTTTAAGTGCTTATTACCACGTGCTTGGTGGTGAAGGAAAACATCGTGAGGAAACCTGCATGTCTGAGAAAATTTCGAAGGCATGTGAAGTTCGCCAACACACATTGAGGGAGCGCGGCGGACATTTCCTTGCTCTAAAACCCTCTCAGAAATGAGAGGAGGCCTATGTTCAGCAGTGGACTTTAATAGGCTGTAACTTTAACTTTTTTAACTTTTATGATTAAGTGTTAACAAATTGATATTAACATGATAACTGTGTTGTTGCAGAAATCATTGAGCTTCGATGAAGATACCTATAAACAGTATTACTACTCGCCACTCTCCCCTCAAGAAGAGAGTGATGACCTCGTCATTAATAATAACACATGCGATGGTGGAAAAAGAAAATCGCAATCGATTGATCATTTTTTTGAAGCTGAATCAAAAATAAAAAAGAGGAAGCTGTTATCATCAACCGTAGCACGAGCCGCTAGAGATGGTGTATCATACATTTCTACTAATTCTGACGACGGAGACCAAGCGACGCATCTCATCAAAATTGAAATGTACGATATGAAGAAGCTATCCAAGATTCCAACTACTGATCATTGGAAACATGCTTCCACTAGAATTAAATATTACGTAAAGACTAATAAGGATAGCATCTACGACAACACAAACGCCCTCGTATACAATATAACAAAGACAATAGCAGAAAGTGAAAAAGTTAAAAAATACTTTTTTAACAATGACAGTCATTAGCTGATCATTAGTGAATGTGATTCTGTTTACTTCAATTACAGGAAGACAAGAGCGGAAGGAAGAGATGAGTGTGGCATACGTGTACAAAACACATCATTGAATAACAAAACTACAACACTGAGTGGAGAAGAAAACGAGAAGAGTATGCAGTACTCAAGAGCTGAATATCCATTCTTCAGTTCAAAATCTAGCCGTTTGCTTAGTTTCGAAAACTGGCCTCTAGTTATGCGACAGAAACCTGAAGATCTTGCAGAAGCTGGTTTCTTTTATACTGGCCATGCAGACGGGACCAAGTGTTTCCATTGTGGTGGTGGTTTAAAAGATTGGGAAGATGATGATGATCCTTGGCAGCAGCATGTTCAGTGGTTTAGTCAGTGTGCTTATGTAAAATTTCAACTCGAACAGTGTTTTGTATTAGATTAAATAGAAGATTTATAAAGAAATAAAAAAAAATATATTGCATACAATTTGTTTTATTTAATTTTATAACGTTTCACATAGTTACATACACACAAAATGCATTACACATAACACATAAAATCTAACACACAACACATATTATAACCTTAACTACTATAGTCTACAGTAACATTTCTGTTTTTATCTATCTCAATAATATTATCAAACTCAGCATAAACTATACAGTTAATTGTTTGTATTAATGAGGATTCAAATCGTACTTCTATTCTTACACTACCATGCTTTATGAGATTCCAATGAGTTGATGAGTTAGCTGATAAATCAGGAGTTAAGTCAAATGCTAATAGACAGTAACCTTTGCCATACTGTTCACAAGAGATTCCATTTCCTTCATTAAGAAAGTGAATACCAGTTCCCGAGAATAGAGTATGATATGCTGATGTAAATATGCTATTATTAAAAGATGGTTGCAAAGCTTTTGAAGGTATTTGTTGACCATCAATATATAAGCTGAAAGAATTAATACCATAGTTTTCAAAGTTAAATGGATTTTTAGTAAGGGAACCATTAAATGCAGAATTGTTCACAAATCCAATTATACATATTTTCGGTACCTGTCCTAAAAATATATTATCAAGAGTTTTTCCTTGAACACCCGAAGGAATTGTTAAAACTTTTACTTCAGCTCGAGTAATAGGATATTTAGCAGTGGTAGAAGCTAAAACTTTTTGATGTGCGAGTAATACACTTGGATTAATTCGTGCTCGTCGAACAATAAGAGTTGCGTCCGTAATACAAACTTTAAACTTTACATCGTTTGATCCAACAATTAAATTAAAACTCTCTCTTGATCGAACCAATTTAACACTCATTTCAACACCATTAATTAAAAATTTATCTTGGTTAAAAATGTCACCGTGAAGATGACCAATCATTTCTATTTCCTTACTTTCACTAATCAATTCCTGTCTTTTAACAAATCCTATGTTTTTACCATCTGTAGAATCCATTTTTCCTGCTGTATCCTCATACCAAAGACTACAAGTAAGATGAGATTGTTTAGCAGCAGGGGCATAGTTTAAAAGGGTTTCCATGTATGCTCGATATGCATAGGTATTATTAGGTGGTGATACAAGTTTTTGGTTTAAATAAACATCAAGTTGACTAAAAAGTGAATGCAGCCAATTATTTACAGGTGCTACTATTGTAGTAGATAGCAAGTTAGTTGAATCTTGATTTAATACTTTTGCCTTTATGTGGAGTAATGTATGAGACAAATCTATATAGTCATCGCCGGTCCCAGGAACTTGAAACTCGATAGGTCCATCATCACCAAGAGATGAAATTGGTTTATAATGAATCCACAATCCATTTTCAATGCTAGTTTGTGTAGACGGTAGTGCAAACAAATCCAATTCTGACTTAACGCACTCGCAAGAATGATTATGAAGGAAAGACATATTTAGTTTGAAAATATATCTTTGATATTTTTTGGTTTTAGACTAAGTTTTTTCGCAGCTTTCACTTTAGCAGTTAATGGTGGAATGAACGATGTCAATCGTTTTCTTTTAGTTTTATACCCAGATCCAGTCATGTTAAATTGATCAATTTTCTCATCAGCCTTTCGTTTTAAATTCGTACTAACTTGCTTTAGACGATCTTTTATTGAGGCTTCCATAGGACGGGCTTGAACCATATCCGATAAAAGTCCTACTCCAGCGCTTAATGCCTCCTTACCAATCACTCGAGCACCACTTGAAAGTAAAGGTAAAACTGATCTGAATAACCCCCCTAAGAAGCTCCCAATACCATGACCGCGTTGATATGGTGAACCCTTATAAATTACTCCAACTCCTGATCCAGCTTGATGTGTATAATAATTTTCATATGGACATTTATGATGATCACGAAGAGAATTCATTATTATAATTTTCGGAAATGTAGTTTAATACACACGGTTCCAAACTGGAATGGTATTTTTTGTCCTGTACTCGATCTTATAACTATTTCCAACGTATCGAACTCTCTTCGCATAACAGGTAAGTAGTGAGGTTGAGAGAAAACGTGCATTTTATTTGCACCATAAATGTATTTTGTAGGATCTAATGAAATGACTCTTAATAAAGGAGTCATAACATCACCCACAATCTGAGGATCGATAATATCGCAATATAGAAATAGTTGAGATGGTAACCCTAAGTGTAAATTAGCAGGACACTTTCCAAAATTTCTCTCTAGGAGATTTTTATTTGGTTCATAACCTAGCTGTAAACTTAATTTGGGTGATAATGTTACGGATGTTATATTTTTATCCAATACCGAAATAGACACAAATTTTGTTATTTCATCATAGCGAAATTTCAAGTTCTCTCCGATACCATTTAACACTCTTAAAATATGCTCAACGTTATCATAGTTGGTAGCTGGAATATGTTTTTTGTAGTACACTGTGGATGGCTTATCTTCATTAGGCATTAACATAGATTTTGTAATGTATATAACATTTTCATGGTCTTGAACAGTAAACATGGTACATGGATATTGAAACTCGACAACTCCAACCGACCATTCACCTTCTAATTTTATAGCTTTTGGTAATTTCGTTGAAAAATTTGTGGTCTTGTTATCAGGAAAGTATTCCATTGAACTATTGCTGAGCAAAGTTAAATAGAAACTTTCTTTATTCATATTTCTTTTAAACTAGAAGCTAAAATCCAACTGTTAAATTTATCTGGATAACCTTTCCACTTCACTAATACTTCTTTTCTGTTACCTGAATAACGAGTGTCAATTATTTTATCTATTTTATGTTGTGAGGTGGGGTTGTAAGTGATTTTCTGTAATTCTCTTTCATAAAAAGTACCAATTATTGGTTCATTTTGTAAATCTGTTATTGTATAAACAACCCATGGAGATCTATCAATTATTGAAGATATAATAAATATTTCATCACTCCAATTTGATTCATATCCTTTTTGGAATACATGTTTATATTTAGTTATTCGAACATAATCACCCACATTGAAATTTGGTTTAGGATTTTCTAAAGAAAGTTTTTTTGACCGTCTGTCATAAAGATTAGTCCAAACTGTCATAATATTGTTGGAATTTACATCACATGGGCACATCTTAATACTAGAGTGAAAGCTGTGATTATAAGAGTATATTAAATCTTGTAAAACATCTATATATCTATAAGTATTATTATGAGTGAAATAACGCCACATTTTCATTTTTAGTGTTCTTTGAAATCGTTCAACAATACTGGCCTTAATGTCAGGATTGTTAGTGGTATAGTAATTAATCTTTTTGGATTTAAAGTATTTTTGTACATCTTTTGAAACAAATTCTGTACCTTTATCGGATTGTATGTGAGTAGGTGTTAAATTACTTTCAGTAAATATACTTTCAAAACATTCTTTAGTTGTTTCTGAGGTTTTCTTTTTCATTGGTCTTGCAAAAGCATATTTACTAAATACATCAATAATACAAAGTATATACTTGAAACCATCATTATATTGAGAATAAGTTCGCATATCACTTAAATCAGCTTGCCACAGTTCATTAATATTTGATAGAATGTACCTATTACGCGGGAATTTTTTTCGAATGGGTTTATGTAATGTGTATGTTTCTTGTGATTTTAACCATTCCTTTACTTGCTTTTTATTCATTTTACCCTTCATGGCTTTTGATAATTTATCAATACTACCAAAACCAGCGGGATTAGATGGATCATAATAAATCCTGTTAATTTCTTCTAGTACGGAGTCCATTTTTCCCACTCAAGTCCTTTACGTATTTTAGTTGTAGACTTTTTATCTCTACTGCACGGTGTAGAAAACTCTTGAACTTCAATCTCAGAGGGTTTGTTCAGATCTTTTGCTTGAAGTTGGTTAATAAACTCACATCTCCTTGGATTTCCAATATAAGTAAGTGGTACTTTAATATCTTTTAATGCTTCAGCAAATCTAACCCACCCTACCGGATCACTTCTTTTTAGGGGTCTTAGTGAATCATTTATTAAATCAACAATATTACTTCCAGGAATTTTTTCACTATCAATTATGACTGCACCTTCGTTATCCCAATGTATTTTACTTTTACTTGTTTCAACTAAGTTTAATAATAACTGCCCTTTTTTATGATAAGTTTTTGGTATTAAACTGAGTATTTGAGTTGGTGTGTAAAGTGGATTTTCATCATTTTCTTTACTTTTAATGGATCGATTCTCCTCCAGCAAAGATTCAATATCAACTGAAGTTTTTAGATCTCTATCTTTATTTTTAAAACCAATTTTTGACTCATTTGAATCTTCATTAGATGTATCAGAATAAATTGGTAATTTGAGTGGTTGACGATCCTCTTCGGTAAAATGAAGGTATCTTTGCAGTGTTTGTAAATATAATATCCATTTCTTTCGGTCTTCCGTCTTACTATTCATAATATTTTGCATTTCAATATCTAATCGAGATAAATTACTATTAACCTTATTTTCTTGTTTTAATTTTTCAATCAATCCAGGTTCGATAAGTATCATTTTCTTTGCATTTTCCATGTTAACTGGCTAGTCCACTCACTAATCCACTCAATATTGCACCTAATATTGTTGGTAAGAAAGCCCCTCCTTTTTGTATAATTATATTTTTTCTTAGTTTATGTTTACACTTACGTACTAGTTTACGGAGTATGTTTTTATGTTTATTCAATTTTTGTTTATCCTGATCTTTAAGAGGTACTTTTCCTTGTAAAACGTTATGAATACACTCACAAATACAGTTAATTTCTTCTTCATCACACGTTTTAAGTAATGCTCTTTGATATTTTGGTTTAAGCGTATGCAAAGCGGTTAGCAAATGTTTATACGTTGTGAGTCGACGATGCATCATTTAGCAATGATTTCAATTGTTTGATTCTTGGTGTATTTAAACTCTTTTGTGGGGACGTAGACTGTACAGAAACCATTAAATGGAAAGACATTTGTCTTGATACGACAAAAATCATTGGTATTCTGTTTTAAATCTACCATTAAATATCCATGCGCCTCTAGAGTTGCATCCCTGTAGGCATTTTCAATGAATTTTGGGTTATCTGGTGATACTTGTCTTGCTAAATATCTTATTTGAGTTTTATCTCGAGGGTTTTTAAAATATATTATATAACTTGAGTTTAAAGATATGTCTCTTTGTCCTTTACCCTGATGAAATAAATTTTGTGTTAGATAAAATACACTAAGATTCCTGTGATGACTACCTTTTGTAAATATATCCACAATTCTTCCATCGGACTCTCTCATTAGATCATCAATAATAACAAGATGTGGGTTTTCACCATCAAACATATTAAGATTTGGAATTCCTTGATGATAGTTAACATTTGGTAAATTATATAATGGTTGCATTTCATCAAAGCAAAGCAAAAGCATGTGATCTGATTAAAATCACAATTACATATTTCTGTAACTGATTTTATGAAATTTGTTACAAAATTTGACTTCCCACACCCACTTGGTCCTGCCACAATAGCAGTGAACGGATGGATAAAGTGAAACATAACACACGTCTAAAGTTCAAAGGGGTGAAATAAAAAATGAAAGTGTTGGTGTAAACAATTAATATATATTCCAAAAATTATATAAAACAGAATTATCTGTATACTATTTCTAACACAATTAGTACATCATAATTTTACAATTAACTCAACCTCAAATAAATAGAAACAACAATTAGTACATCATAATTTTACAATTAACTCAACCTCAAATAAATAGAAACAACAATTAGTACATCATAATTTTACAATTAACTCAACCTCAAATAAATAGAAACAACAATTAACTTAAATTATTTACAATAAAACAATGTTTAAATATGTAATAAACTACGTCATATTATAGTATTATCATAATTTTACAATCAATATAAATTTTTCTTAAACGCAGACATAAAAGTAAAAACTATCAACACTTAACGCAGTTTATAATGACCCCAAGCTAATGTTTCAATATTATTATCTAAAATATGTCTCTTTGTGTCATTATATGATAAACCTATCTTATTTAATTTTTGTGTGAAAATTGTGTGTTTAATTGATTTAAATCTAAGCATACTATAATATTGCACTTTTTTATTAAATAGAGAAGACTTATAACTATTCATTGTCATCTTTTTAGTGATACATTTATTTACCCCTTTTGCCTTGGCTATAGTCTTATTCTCTAAGTTAAAAGCGTACATTTTGGATCGTAAACCCACAAATTCTTTCATGATTTTACCATTATTTTCATCTTTAAAAAAACCTAATTTCTTTTTATTTAATTTTGGATATTCAAAAATATTATTTGTATCATAATCTGAGGTATCAAAGTATGATGAAAGGTCAGGTTTTATATCAGTGTAAAAATCATTTGTAAATATATGATATATTAAACTATCCGTATCTGTATACAATAATTTGATTT